TCGTATATTAAATATATCGATTATAATCTTAACAATCACCCATTATATGGTCATCATCGAAGCACATAATAAAAATTAATTTTGTAAAATAAATAAATGTCTAAAAAATTTATCAATTTTATATAATTTTATCTTTGATGGGTAGAAATTATTTTTAAAAATTTTAAAATATTTTTTTGGTTCTTGACTTTTTAATTGTGACACATTTGACTCTGAATTTTGAATCTTGTTTCAAATAAGGACAATTTAAGATACCATTACTTAATTCTAAGGGTAAAATCTTCAATTTGATAAAATATAAACTAACTTAACAAAAATAAATGTCAAAAACATAATTTAAAATTTTTAAAAAATATTTCTAATAAATCTCACGAAAAATTATATGATCATCATCTAATAAATGTCAGTTATTTTACATAAAATATAAACTAACTTAACAAAAATAAAATATTTAATAAAATATTGAAGATTTTACTTAACTTTACATGATCATTATCTAAACACATAATAAAAATTAATTTGATATAAATAAATAAATAAATGTCTAAAAGATTTATTAATTTTACATAATTTTATTTTTAGTAGGTAGAAATAATTTTTAAATATTCAAAAATATTATTTTGACATTTATTTTTATCAAATTAGTTTATATTTTATCAAATTGACGATTTTGCTGTTGAAGTTAAGTATATTCAATTATTCTTATTTGGAACAAGATTCAAAATTCAGGATCAAATGCGTCAAAATTGAAAAGTTAGAGACTAAAGTGACACAAGTCTCAAACTATAGGGACCGTTAATGTAATTTGCCCAAGTTTTTTTTCAAAAAAAAAAATTTCTTTTTAAAAAACAAAGTTATTTTTTAAAAAATAATACTATATGTACTAATTAGTGTGTTAACTAGTGTACCAATTGATGATGTGACATAATTTAAGAGGTTTTTGATATTTATGATTTGTATAATGAGTGAAGTCAATAATAATATTATAATTAATATTAATACATAAATTAATATACTAATTAATATATTAATTAATACATATAACACCACCATTTTTTTTAAGTGTGAACCTTACAAACGATAATAGTGATCCCCCATGTGACTAAACATATCTTAGTAGGAAATTAGGTTAGACAATTGCGCCGTTAATATACAATAAAAAAGCAAAAGGAAAAGCAAGAGGGTGAATGATTAATCCAAATTAATAAGAACATTATGGCCACATTATATTGGGCCCACTTGGCTCACATTAGAATCAGTGCCAAAAATTAAGAAACCCCACTATTGACTTTAATTTTTGCCCTTCTTGTTTTGGATTGAATAATTCTTGATCATTGGAAATTTAATGTGATCTAATTGAGTTCTTGAAGCATTTCACTAATGAAACTTTTGTTAGTTAAAATTGAGTTGGCTCAAATAGTTTAAATTATTATTTATCAATCGATCGATTAGATAATTAGTTAAGCGATTATTCAGAAAATCAAGTGAAATATTAATCTATTGTAATTGTTATTTTATTAACTATGTTTGTCAATTTTTTCTTCAGACAACATACAAAATAAAATTCAAACCATTCAAATCAAACTCAAATTCAAACTGCCCTATAAAACTCTCAATAATTACCCCTTTTGGAAACCTTCAACTTGTGACTTGCTAGTCATATCAATGTAAACTGATTGACAAGGAGTGTGCTTGCCTAAGCTTCAAATTTCCATGAGGAAAGAGGTTTGTGTGATCATTTTCTAACCACAATTTAAAAAAAAAAAACAAAAACCAACAAACTTTTTGCATGTGGAGGTTGACAAACTCACTTGCTTTTTGAGGTGCTTTTTTTGCGGGGGTGGTTGGTTTCACTAAAAAATAAGGTAGTGTCCATGAAAAGTTGTTATGGAAAACAAACAATACTTTAAACATATCCATAATCCTACATGGAATTCTATTTCACATATTTAAAACAATATTTATTAAAAAAAACCCCATCAATTTAACATAAGGCCGAGCCTGCTATCCACACTTTTTGTAAATTAATAGTCAGATTTTTATTTGCTTATTTACAAACCCCAATGCTAGATTTAATTTTTTAAAAAATCAATTCAATTCAATATTTAATGAGTTAGTTGATAAATAAAATCTATAAATTTGATTTATAAAACGTGCTGAGGTGGCATGATTTGAGAATTCAAACGGTCCCTTAATGACTTAAGAAAAGAAAAATATTAGATATCTTAAATAATTTATCAAATATTTTACAAAATCTCTTACATAGGTGTATGTGATAAGTTTGATAAAATATTTGATAAATTATTTAGGATCTCTAGCAATACTTATGGAGAAAAAGCTACATTCTTTGAAAGGTATTTTTCTCGAATTACAATTAATTTTCATTTAACACATTCTTCTTCTGTCCTTGGATATTTCCAATTCATAGGACTTGAAAGGGCAATATTGTAACTTACAAGCATTTTTGTAAAGGCCTGTTTGGTCCCCCACAATGTCAGTATTCAATAATCAGTATGTATCTCACAAAGATACACTGTTTGTTTGGAGAAAAGCGAAGGCAATGAAGAGTGTTTGGAAGGAATTGGATACTTGTGTCCCCCACCTACACCTCTTTCCAATGGACTAAATTGCCCTTCCATGCTTCAGTTAGTTTCATATTTCTTTTTATATGAAAATAACAACTAATGCTAGAAAATATTGAGAAAGTGCCTAGAATTTTAAATATGTGAATTAAATTTATTTTGATGCGACTCATATAGTTCTTTTTACAAATTCCATAATATGAAAATAACTAATTCGACAACTCGACACAGTATTAATGTGTACTTCAGTAAGAGATTAATTAATTTGAATTTTCAATAAAATTTAAAATTATGACTAAACCTATTGACAAATAAAGTTGACATGATTATTGGGTTAACTAAAAAGTCACAAGACAAAATCTATTGTAAACTCTATTTACAAGACTTACCACCAAAATCCATTTTTAAATAGGCAGTGGCTTTGGTCCAGTCCGATCTTTTAAGATCGGATTGGACCGTGCTGTTGGGCTTGTGGGGGTCCATCACGGGTCCGTTTTGATAATTCGAACCGTTTAATGTCTAGAATTCGTCGAGTAATATATGCCTATAAAAAATCACATTGATCGGATATCGATAGCTATGTAAACAAAACAGTTTTTTATCAACCGTTAATTGTTTCACCGTCTATTTTTTTTATACAAAATTGATTTGATCACATAGCTATTGATATTCGATCAACGTGATTTTTTACAGGCATGTAGTACTCGACGAGTTCTACACATTAAACGGTTCGGATTATCAAAACGGGCTCAAAAATTGGGCCCCGTGGGCCGAATTGGACAGGTCCAGTCTTGATCTCAATTTGAGACAAGCTGGACCCTTTTAAATAATACATTGTCTTCATTTGGGATGTGTGTTGGTTTTTTAATTATTTTAGCCTAAGGTTAAAAAGTCTGGTTTGAAATGATTTTTTTGGTTTTTTTGATTTTTATGAGAGAAAAAATAAAATGATTATGGTTTGAATGTGACATTTTATTTTATTGACTTTTTAACCTATTTTATATTTTTGTGACTAAAATAGCCAAAGTAACCTATGCCAAACATAAGCCACTATATATTCAAATTTTAACTATTTTTCTAGTTATTTTATCTAAGTATATAACATTTCAAATAAGAAAAATATATATTATCCAATTTGGTTGGTGCAAAAAAGAAGAAGGAAAAAAAGGCAATTTATTCTATTCCTCACCTGTGGACATTGTGTGATAATGTATTTTTTTGGTAAACTTTAACCATTTTTTGTGTGCGGTGGTGCATTGATGTAACCCAACATCAACCAGTATGCAATGAGCATTTGCTTTGCTTTTATGTTATCTCTATTGTGAGGAAAAATTATTGGTTGGTCTTAGTGCTTCATGTGGTCATATTCCACATCAATTATCATGTTCAATCACTTAACATAAATTTATGAGTTTTACATCTTCGACCAATTATAACACCATTAAAACATTTCATAACAATATCCCAAGACTAAACAATAACTTTTCGTTGTAAGGTCAAGTGCAATAATTTTTAGATATCGTCATCCTAACAAATTATTACTTCACATTTCAAATTAAAGAAATGTGAGACATATCATAAGTCACTAATGTAGTTGAAATCCAAGCTATCTTATCTCACATAAATTATATTCAAAATAATTTCTCAAAATCTTGTGTTCATTTTTAAAGTAAAACATGACAAAAGGACTAATATCTGTTATGCAATTTAGATTATATATCAATTGTTCAGATTTCCTTTTTCTTAGTATATTACGATGCCTATTTTTTTTGTCACAGTGACAAAAAGCTTACTTTCTTTGTTTACCACATTAAACTTAAATCTATCATGATAAAAAAATCAACATGATTTCAATAGTTTTATTTTAATTGATAGAATTCAACTGTTGAGTTTTGTTGCACAATCTTTCACATTATCACTGTCCCAAAACACCAATTACTAAGAATTTAGGATTTAAAATTTTGTTGATGATACACAAATGAAATGATAGTAAAGCATGTTATGTGGGATACATTATGACTTCGTTTGGGAAGTTGCTATTTTAATAGACTATTTTAGTTTTTGGTTATTTTAGTATGTTAAAATTTTTGTGTTTGAGAAGATGATTGGATTTTTTTGTGATTTGATGTGATGTTTGTGAGAGAAAAAGTGAAATGATTATGAGTTTGATGTGATATTTTGTCTTATTAACTATTTTAGCCTATTTTATCTTTTTGTAAATTTTAACCTAAACTAAGTTATTTTTTTTCTTGCCAAACACCCCCATGAGTGGATTATTAGCTATATAAGGTTGTATGTGGTTGTATGTATACTTTATTGTTTCAAGAAACCATGGGCATTTTGGTAAATTGGAACTTGCTCATGCCTACTACATAAAGTGAAAAGACTACTACACTCCCCCACTGATATCTCTCTGCTTCACATGCGCTCATTTCCATTAATCCCATTGACAGAACAGAGACAAAAGTTATTTGGATTTGAGTATTCTTATACCTCTCTCTCTCTCTCTCTCTCACCATTATGATACCATCTACTTCTCTACAAATCAAATCCAACCAGTAGATACCCACTAGTTCATCCTCTTTGTTCTTTTCACTCACTGAATAATTTCTTTGCTTATACTTACACACACATTAGATTGTACTCTGTTTTTCGCTCTGTTCATGGCTGCTACGAGTGGAGTTCAAATCCTTGAAAACCATGAGAGAAACCATAGCAAAACCAGCAATGACGTTAGCAGGAAGGAAATTAAGGCTGCCATTGACAAAGCTGTGGAGCTGAGAGCCCTCCATGCTGCTCTGATGCAAGGCAACAACCCTTCTGCACCCAATCTCAGATACCTTTCCTCTGCTTCCCCTGTTTCTCTTCCACACCATCATGCTTCTCACTCCTCTGCCCAAGATTACCCTGTTTTTACACCTGTGAGTTCTCTCTCTCTCTCTCTCTATTATATCAATTCTTCTTCATAACTGAAACTGAGGTGTTTTCATCAATGTCTTGTCTTGAATATTATATAAAATATTTCATCAGTGATTTTTTTTTTTTTAAATTTTAAATTGAATTAAAATCATAACTTTAGTCATTGAATAAGTTTACAAAAATTGATCACAGAATGTATATAGAGAGACAAATAAGATTTTTTTAAAAATGAACTCTAGTAATGAACTTTGTAAAATTTTATCCATTCATATGTATTTTGGATCTAATTCTGTGAATGATTTTTGTATTTATCAGAACTTTAGTCATTTATTGAAATGATTATGATGGTTGTTCAAGTTCTTGCGACAATCATGACTTGAGTCAACTTTGTGTCCATTGTGTTAATGGTTTAGACTTTTTTTTTTACACAAATCTGTACATAAATTCATGATTGAAACACAACTTTAATGAGAGTCATGGATGGAACAAAATGAATTACACTTTTCATTTTTTTTTAGTTTCATTTCTAGTTAAAGCAACTGAATAATAATTAAGCTTAGAAAGTTAAATTCTTTACTTGTTATGAGGTTGTATATTCATGCATTCACTCTCTTATTTTGGCAAATTTCACTAAACGCTGAGTAGAGCAAATTTTTGATACAGAGTTATGAAGAACAACCGTTACCGGGATTTCAACAAATTCAATTAGACAATCGAACTATATCAGAAAATGATGATGATGATCAAAAAACCAACTTAACAGATTACAAAACATCTAATGCATCTTCAAGGAAAGAAATTCCCTCTGAATTGGCTGAAGATCAAAAGTCTGTCACCGGATTGTGTGCTTACAACACCACCGTGCTCAGAAAATCATCGCCTAGAACAGATTTCTTCAAGTCAAGCACGCGAAAAAGTACTATGAGCGACACCAAATCTGTATCTTCTTGCAATAGTTGCAAGAATTTCAACATTGTGGTGCCATTGACAGATATCCATTCTTCTCTTCAATCCCAACAAACGAAAAACCGGGGGCTGAATCGGAGTCTTTCGTGGTTGTTCCCTCGGATAAAGAAGAAGAACAAGAACGAAAATTCGCCAAGTAGGCCAGAATCAGATGAGGTTTCACAACAAGTTTTTAGAGAAATGGGAATTTTAATGTCGGTTGAGAAATTAAAGAAAGAGCTCATGGAAGCAAATGAGAGTCGTGAAGCAGCCCTGATGGAGGTTGCAATGATGAAATCTTCGTTAGGAGAGCTAAAACACAAGTTGGAGTACTTGGAAACATACTGTGAAGAACTTAAAAACGCTTTGAAGCAAGCAGTACCTGAAAGGCTAATTGGAAATCTTTCCAAGAGAGGGAAATGGAAATCCGATGATGGGATTGTTGTTGGGAATGTTGAAGATTTGATGCCGGTTAGTGAGGAAGTGATGGTGGAGGGTTTCTTGCAGATAGTATCCGAAGCCAGGTTGTCAGTAAAGCAATTCTGCAAGAGCCTTGTCAGCCAAATAGAAGAAAATACCGATATCATTTTGATGGAAAACTTAAATTTGCTTCTAAAACCACATAAGCTGTCTATAAATTCGAGGTACTCAAAGGCGGTTTTGTATCATTTGGAGGCGATCATAAACCAATCACTCTATCAAGACTTTGAGAACTCTGTTTTTCAAAAGAATGGCTCTCCGAAGCTCTTAGACCCACGTGAAGACCGCCAATCGCACTTTTCATCGTTTGTCGCGTTGAGAAATTTGAGTTGGAATCAAGTGTTGAAGAAAGGAACCAAGCATTACAGCGAAGATTTTAGCAAGTTTTGTGATCAGAAGATGAGTAGTATCATTAGTGTTCTGAATTGGACGAGGGCATGGCCTCAACAACTCCTTCAATCGTTTTTTGTCGCCGCCAAATGCATATGGTTGCTCCATTTGCTTGCATTTTCATTCAACCCGCCACTCGGGATCCTGAGGATTGAAGAAAACACGAAGTTCGATTCCCAATACATGGATGATATTTTCATGGATCGACAAAGGTTGTCACAGGGTCCAAGCCGGGTTAAAATTATGGTAATGCCCGGGTTTTATGTGCAGGACAGAGTACTTAGGTGCAAGGTTCTTTGCAGGTACAAATCTCTAGCCTAAGTTTTTGTTTTTTTCCTGGGTTTAATCTAGTTTTGATAATTGTTCAAAATGGTTTCTTCAATTGCTTAATGGAATGGGTTGGTACAACGTTTGAAGCCTTGGAAGGATGAGTGGTGAAATTGAATAATACTTCGTTGGCAACTACATGTTGCTAAACATAGTATGACGGAGTCTTATGACACAAACTATGAGGCTGGTTTGGTCTGCTGGATGAGACACTTTTTCCATTCATGACGTCCGACTCGAGTCTCATCGTTGTGCGATGCATTTTTTCTTTTCCTTAACTCTCTGCTAACGGATTGTTAAGAAAACAAGAGGGTACTATGTTGTAAGGATAAATTTACATACAAGAAACACCATGTGTACAAGAAGAAGAGAGAAAATAGTAAGAACAAGAGACACTTTACACTAATTTCAAAACATTTTTCACTAATCTTATAACAGTTTTAAATTTACTATTTAACTATTTTCAAAACACTTTTCAACCTTCTGCAAACCAATGTCCTAAGGCTTTCATACATTTAACATAAATTTGCAATATCTTGTGATGATGGACCATCTTTGTGTAATGTAAAAAGAATAGACACTTGACCTAAAAGGTGGTGTTTGGTGAAGAAAATAGGTAAGTTGCAATGTAAAGTCAAGATTGGCATTGTTTAATCTTTGTCTTTAGGGGCTGAGGGCGGAGTCAAAATTTTGTGGAGTAGAGACAAAATCAACCTTAACAATTATATACGAAATAGTTTTCTATAACAAATTAATGAATATTTTAAAAAAAAATGTTTGAGGACCACAAATTCTGTGGCTCAAATGGTCTGAAATTGTCAAAACGACGTCGTTTTGCGTCGTTTTCCACTCAAAATGACGTCGTTTTGGATGTTTCGAGCCATTCGAGTCACAGAATTTGTGGACACCTAACATTGCTATATTTTACAAAGCTAAAGTTTTTCCTAAACCCTAAATACATGACTAGGAAGATTTTATTAATATGTAAACAAATTTCTACATACCCACCAACAAATTCAAAAGGAGAGATGGGAGCACTTTTTAAACAAAAATATATCTGTGAGAGGTATACAACATTTTATCCACTGAGATTCCTTGAAAAAGATGGAAGAGGGAAATATTTGAGAAAATGGTAAAATGAAAATTTCCAGGTTTGCCTTTATTTGAAAAGGATAGAAGGCTGGAAAGTCTTTCCGGAAAATTAATTTTTTTGAAAGGTATATTTTACCTGATGTATCTTAACATATAAATGATTTGCATTATTGAAGTAGAATCCGGAAAGAGTCCCATCAAACGCCCAACAATAATTATAATTGTTGTGCGAGATGCATAGCAACCACTCTAATTCTTCAAAATATATGTTGTGCATGCACACAATTTTAAAAATATAAAAGCTCTAGCTATATCATCATATATATATTTTTAAAAGTAGTATTTTTTTTCTTACTTAGATGACACATTTTAAAAGTTTATTTTTTTAAAAAAAGACACATTTGCATGTCTTTTCCATTAACATATAAGGTTCTGCATAAATTCAATTTCAATTATAAAAATCAATTTTATATGAATCCTATTTGAGAAATACTTATTTTCTATATATACAATTATAATTTAATTACTATGATATTTCAAAAAAAATAAATAAATTATCTCGATATACAAATAATAAATAAAAAAAATAATGCGTTTAATTATGTGTATTGCATGAATCAAATTAAGTTTTTTTATATTTTATATTTTTTTTCTATTTTATTGATGTCTTAATATTAATTTTTTATTTAATGTGTGAATAATTCAAAAAAAATATTAAAGAAAAAATCAATACATTACATAATTAATTTATGTATTTTTTTCTTAATCTAATCACAACATATTTATATTTAATCTTTTAAATAAATTTTATATAGTTCTATTTCTACATATTTTTATTATCCAAATAAATATAAATATAAATATAAAATTAAATAATTAGAATCACTTTTAGATTTATATTACTAATTCTCTTTCTAATTTAACTATTAGTTTTAATATCAAAATGAGTGTTTATTTTACTATCTTAAACATCTAATGTTCATCAAATTTCAATAATGTTTGAAAATATAGGATGAAAAACATCTAATGTTCATCAGATTTCAATAAATTTTGAAATTATAGAATGAAACATCAGATCATTTACATCATTCACATCATGTTGATGTAAAAATGGGACTAAATGGAGCATAAGAAAACTTTTAGGACTAAATGGTTCAACGTTTCAAAAACTAGGACTTATGGGTAAATTTTCCTATATTTTTATAGCACAATAGAACTAAAATTATCAAAATAAACAAATAATTTAACTAAACTTATTATATATAAGTATTCAAGTAATACTTTTATACGACGATAAGGCTAAGATTTAAAATAAATAATTAAATTTTTTATTTTAAACTAAAATTAATATTATTCTTTTTGTAATACATATCATAATATAAAATATCATTACATTAATTAAAATTAACTCTATTATGATTTTATGTTAGATATCATATTTCTAAAAGTGAGTTACATACATGTATAGCGTTCAATTTGATATTGATGGATTAAAATAATGAAACTCAAATTTTTTTGGTTAAGTTTTTAAAAGATAAATTGACAAATGGCAAATGATAAATAGTGTGGAGTATTATTTTAAAGAATAATGATTCATCAAAAATGATTGTGTATATTTACGGCACCTATTAATGTTTTTTGAATAATTTCTAAATAAAAATTTTGAATTTATAGTATTACTGATAATGCACATTCATGATCTCTACTAAAAAAGATATGCAAAAATAATTTAGCTGGAATAAAAATTTTGCAGTTATTATGATACGTCAGATAATTAATCAAAACCTCTTTGAGAACTGAATTATTATGGTTATAGAGATTTTGTGCATGATTCTTTTTGAGAACACTGTTTATGATTTGATAATTTTTTTATACATTAACGTAAATAACTCTTACGATCTTATTGATATAAGCATAAATCTCACATTTGAGTGAACCCACCCTAAGCATTTTTTTCGTGTAATAAAATAATTAAATATTGCCATAAAAAAACATTATAATAGATCATACTCAAATACTTATATAAAAACATTATAATAGATTATAATCAAACACCATTTGAAATATAATTAAAGACCCGGTACATCACTTTAGACATAATAAAAAAATATAAGAAATTAGCAAGGAACTTTTCGATTAATAACCAAAATAATACACTAAGTCATAATTTGTATATAATAGAACTTTCCGTTGTTTTTATTTTTTTTTTTAGAAAAAATATGTTAATACAAGGAGAATTCATAATTTTTGATAAATTTGATTAGCACAAATGAAGATTTAATTTCAGATTAAGAATACACTTTTTTTTCAATTTCAAAAGAAATTATTTTTATAAACTTTTTACATAGGATCACACACATGATGATAAAAAAATTTATTAACTATTAGCAAATTTGTATATATTTAACTTTCAATTGCTAAATTTTTACACAAAATATTAAGATTTAAAATCAAATTTTCATTTTAAAAATAAATTCTCGTGTAGTAATATGTATATATTTAGGGGCTTAATCTTGCGATATGCATGCGCATAAATGATGGGAACTTTTTGACAAAAATAAAGTTGTGTTTGAATCTTTAAAGTAAAAATGAAAATATTTGACACAATTCATTTAAGATGGATAAATCAAGATTGAATTTCAGATATTCACCCAAAAAAGATTGAATTTCAGAACTCAGTTATGATGAATTTGAAAAAAACAATGTAAAAATAGGTACTTTAAAATTCTTCACCTTAAGAGTTTTAATTTGCAAGGATCGTAATAAAATACATATTTTCTCTCTCTAATTTATCTTTCCCTCAAATTCCTCAATCCACTTATAATAACTTAATCTCTTCATTTGAAATCCTTCTATCCAAACAGAGCCTAAAATTTCCTAAACACGAATCAAATGCATGTCTTCAACATTATTCGAGATTTTGGATTGAAGAATTTATAGAGGTAAAGAAGGGAACAAAAAGAAAAAATAGCAGAGGAAAACAAAGACAAGATAAATTGAAAAAAGTTAAATTTATTATATTTTATTTCTCTTTTCCGATAAATCTCATTTATCCAAACATAGCGTAAAAAACTTTGACAAGAGTTTGGCTTCCTAGAGAGATAGAGGTCCACAGGAATGTCAACAATTCTTTTCCTTATAACTTTATATTATGATCAATCACTAAATCCAAAAGTGTCAGTCTAAAATAACTATCTACAGTCTCTATAAAAATAGAGAAATGATTTTTTCCCCGAAAAATCATTCTCCCGAATCTGAAGAAATCGAAGGCAAGAGAGAGAGAGAGGGAGAAAGAGAGGCGAGGAGAGGAGAGAGGGAAACAGAGGGAGAGAAGAGAGATGAGGGAATGGAGAGAGAGAGAGAGGGCCCCTCCTTCCACCTCTGCCGTCGCCGATTGATGGCAGATCGACCGGCCGACCGTCGTAGCAGCTCCGATTGTCGCAGCAACAGCTCGTCGCAGCCCCACCGCAGCTCATCGCAGCCTCGCCTCCAACCGCCGTTGCCTCCGGCCCCGCCTCCACCTCCGCCTCCAGCCCGATTTTGTTAGCCCCCTCCCCTCCAGTTCTTCTTCTTCTTCTCCTCCTTCTTCCTCTGATTTTCTTCTGAAAAAAAAAAATAATAAAAAATAAAAAACGATGTCGTTTTTTGAATTCGGAGGATTCGGGAGGCTCAAATTCGAGCTACCAATCACTACTCATAAAAATATTGACTAAAATGCCTAGAAATTTTGCCTGGTAATGGGTATGAAACCAACAGAGAGAGAAGCAAAAACGATACCAGAAAATCAGGAACCTGGAGAACTTTTCAACTGTCACTCCACCAAAAGCTAACCGAAAAGCTTTTGGTAAGAGATCGAACATAATGCCACCATTTCGGAGGTATATAGAGCATTTCGCCTTCCTCTAAAATGCAGTCCATAAATTCCAGGTCCTGCACCTTCGGAAACTCATTCACGTCTATGCTGTCCAGATCAACCTTCAAACAATTTTTTTTGTATTTTTAGTCGGCACTCATACTACTTAAGCTAAGTATACATTATAATATTAATTTTATTATTATTATTTTTATTCTTATTTATTTAAGTACACATTATAATATTAATTTCATTTTTATTTTATTTTATTCCTATTTATTTAAATTGCACGCGCATCGCGTGTGCGCGGCCGCTAATATATATATATATATATATATAGGGGCTTAATCTTGCGATATGCATGCGCATAAATGATGGGAACTTTTTGACAAAAATAAAGTTGTGTTTGAATCTTTAAAGTAAAAATGAAAATATTTGACACAATTCATTTAAGATGGATAAATCAAGATTGAATTTCAGAACTCAGGTATGATGAATTTGAAAAAAACAATGTAAAAATAGGAACATTAAAATTCTTCACCTTAAGAGTTTTAATTTGCAAGGATCGTAATAAAATACATATTTTCTCTCTCTAATTTATCTTTCCCTCAAATTCCTCAATCCACTTAAAATAACTTAATCTCTTCATTTGAAATCCTTCCATCCAAACAGAGCCTAAAATTTCCTAAACACGAATCAAATGCATGTCTTCAACATTATGCGAGATTTTGGATTGACGAATTTATAGAGGTAAAGAAGGGAAAAAAAAAAAAAAAAAAAAAAAAATAGCAGAGGAAAACAAACACAAAATAAATTGAAAAAAGTCAAATTTATTATATTTTATTTCCCTTTTCCGATAAATCTCATTTATCCAAACATAGCGTAGAAAACTTTGACAAGAGTTTGGTTTCCTAGAGAGATAGAGGTCCATAAGAATGTCAACAATTCTTTTCCTTATAACTTTATATTATGATCAATCACTAAATCCAAAAGTGTCAGTCTATAATAACTATCTACAGTCTCTATAAAAATATTGGCTAAAATGCCTAGAAATTTGCCTGGTAATGGGTATGAAACCAACAGAGAGAGAAGCAGAAACGATACCAGAAAATCAGGAACCTGGAGAACTTTTCAACTGTCACTCCACCAAAAGCTAACCGAAAAGCTTTTGGTAAGAGATCGAACATAATGCCACCATTTCGGAGGTATATAGAGCATTTCGCCTTCCTCTAAAATGCAGTCCATAAATTCCAGGTCCTGCACCTTCGGAAACTCATTCACGTCTATGCTGTCCAGATCAACCTTCAAACAATTTTTTTTGTATTTTTAGTCGGCATTAAAATTGAAGAATTAATGACACGACTCCAACCATTCCATATATTTAGCATTGCTTCTGATCTTGTTACCTACATGAGAGACAACAAAAGAAAGGCAACTACTAAAAAGACAGTCCGGGGAAATTGTGCACGAATTCCCGTTTGGCATGGGCTAAAAGGCTACTCTTTTGGCTTAAAATAAGCCAAAAAACAACATGTTTGTCTTGAGCTAAAAAAGCTAAGAAAAACTCCCATTAACAAAAAAGCAATTTTTTTAGCAATTATTAGACACATCAAATATTTTTAAAGCAATTATCAGACACATCAAATATTTTAAATTCTTAAAAAAGTAAAAAGAAACTAAAAAGGCAATTGCCAAACTCCAAAGTCCATAAAATAGGGAGTTTAATTACTTGAGAAAGTAATCACAAAATCTGAAACCATTTCTGGGTTACTAGGTTACCTTAATGCCAAAAGAAAGTTACCACTTAAAACAAGTATAGAACAAAGAAACTAATTGTAAGGTAGAAGGTATTAAATTGAAGCAACTCTGTTAAGATTAAAACATAGGCCATTAGTCCTTTTTTTTTTTTTTCATTTTTTCTTTCCATTTGTCTACATTCATTCAGTCTCCCTGCAAACAGATAGCCACTAGCGAACTTCAACATTTATGTAATGATCCTAAAACAGAATGGTATGAGAATTTTAAACAATTTAAGCATACTTTGATATTAAGAAGACGAAGCTATCTCAAACAAAAATGATATAATATATGCACATATAGCTATATATGCTTAGAGCGATTTGGTACCATCAACCATGGATTATGAGCACAACTAAGAACTTGGTCCCATGTTCTATGGTATTGGAAAGTAATTATGAAGTTATTCTAAGGTTCTTATCTATGATGCACGGACACGGACACGGACACGGACACGGGACATGACACGGACACGACACGGACACGGAAAAACGCAAATTTTCAAAAAATAAGGGACACGACACGCAGGGGACACATTCAATATATGTAATTAATTTTATTTATTATATGCTATAAAATTATTTAAAAAAATTTGCTCCTATAATAAAATTAACAAATATACATTATTAAAATTATATACTCAAATAATAGAAAAGAAAAAATAAAATCAGAATATAAAAGAAAAAATAAAAAATCAAATCAAATCAAAATATAAAAGAAAAAATAAAAAATCAAATCAAATCAAAATATAAAAGAAAAAATAAAAACAAAATATAAAAGAAAAGATAAAAGAAAAGAAAAGAAAAATAAAATCAAAAAGAGGCTGAGAAAGAGAGAGAGACACAACGACTGAGGGAAATCAGATGGAGGCTGAGAGAGAGAACGAGAGAGAGAGAGAGCAACTGAGGGAAAGAAGAAGAAGAATGAAGATCGAAGCAGAAGAGCAACGACGACTAACGAGACACGAGTAACGATCGAGACATGAGTGACGACCGACGAGAGACGATCGATGAAGAGCGACGACTGACGAGGAGTGACGACCGGCGAGAATCGAAGACGAACGACAAATGACGAACGACAAATCGACCCGGTCCTCTCATTCTCACCATTTCTCTTATGTTTCTGTTCTAATCAAATTAGATTAGGGCAGATGTTGATCTGTTTTTACTTATTTACAAATCGACCCCAAACAAATTATGTAAATTGTGAAATTAC